CATCATTATTCAACAGCAGAGCATCAATATGACAAAGAAAAAAAAAAGTCAAATTCATTCGACTTGGCCAGCGCCAATTCCTACTGACTTGAAAAAAGAATGTCTGCAACAATTTCTTTCTCAGATGTCTATGTCCGTATTGGCTGAAGTGACTTGTGCGGTCTGCAATATTCGTAGTCCAGAACAGGATTCAATACAAATGCCAATGTCAGAAATTCCTAATATACATCTACTCAAAATATCTGATGAACTTAAAAATTTAGTCATCAATACTCAATCATCTACTTCGAAAAACTCTAACGGTAATGTCATACGGATAACAAAAATATTCAAGATTATATATGCAATCCTGATTTTATTTTAGGTTCTTCAACTACAAAGTCGTCTTATTTCGATTACGAAAATGATATTATTCTCTATGTCAATGGGATGTATCAAGAAAATAATGTAAATATGTGTATACTTTGTCAAAAATGCAGTAATGGTTTATCGAAGGAACAGATTCCTAAATTTTCAGTAGCAAACAATATGTGGTTAGGTGATGTGCCTCTTGAGTTACAAGGGCTAACCATCCCAGAAGAAAAACTGATATCATTACACCGTCACAATAGTTGTATAATAAAACTACAGTCACCTTTTCATTCAATGGCGACTGCTCAAGGTGCATTAAAAGGCAATTGTATTACTTTTCTACAAAATACACCAAATATTGTTAACAGTCTACCACTTGAAATGGCCGATCTGTGTGACACTCTCAAAGTATTTTTATTGGAGCTCGTCCTCCAGAGCGTCTTCAACTCAAAAGAATTCTTACAGTGCGACAGAAAAAGATTGTTGAAGCGCTGTGTTGGTTGAATAAATACAATATACTTTATAAGAATATCGATATAAATCTAGATAATATCGCACAGCTACCTGAAGATGATATACCAGAACCCATAATGACAACAATGGAACAGATATTAAATGATAAAGAAGTACCATCTGAAAGAGTTGGATATATTCCTGATCCATTATCTAACTCAACAGAATTGAATATCTCAAATGTCATTCCTGTTAATAACAGGTAGGAACAGCTAGAAAAGAAAACTTTTTAAGAGCTTTTTCTGCTTATTAGTGCTGTTCTCGACGTGAATGGTTCGTCGATATCTTCCGAGGAAATAAATAATTATCTTCTAAAGAAAATCAAAAACGATGGAACAAATGATGAAATGGATGTTGAAAATATTTACTTGATTCCTCATTCTTCCAAACCTGTCAATGAATATTTTAATCCAAAATTATTAGCAGGTCTCTATCGAACGTTATTCTGTTATGGACTTGGAGCACCTGAAGATCGAACACGGCCACTCACCATAAATTTACGAGAACATATACGTTATCTTTTATGCTACAATGATCGACGTTTTGAAAAAAATCATAGTTTTATATTTGTAGTCTTTAATTTATTGCAAAGACGTGATGCATGTTTCCATGCTCAACTTATAGCAACGAAACCTTATTTTCGATCTTCCGCTCAAGAAATTCACTCATTGAACACTAGTGATATTGAGGTAGCTCTTAAAAATATTTCTACAGGAACATACAATACAGGATCTAACAAGGCTTTAGGTAAACTGGTAAATCATATTAAAACAATCGGCGGTCGAGTGATGGGTTCAGCATATTCACGTACATCCTTACGTACACATCTTCATGCAATGATTTTTAATCAAAGTCTACCCAACATATTTCTCACTCTCAATCCAGCTGATATTCACAGTCCCGTAGCATTATATTTTGCAGGTGTGAAACTTGATTTGGACAATGTTCAAGCCGAACAACTTATGGACGCATACAAGCGTGCCGAAATTATCGCTTCTCATCCTGTTGCTACTGCCAAATTTTTCCATATATTGATTTCTAATATCTTAGATACAATGATTCTTGGTGGTGTAGTCGGTCCTGTGAAAGCATATTTTGGTACTGTTGAAAGTCAAGGACGAGGTTCACTTCATTTGCATCTCCTTATTTGGCTTAATCATGTCTTGAAGCCAGCTGATATGAAGAACAAGATTCAAGATGCAAGTTTTCGTGAAAATTTGATAGCATATTTAGAAGATATCATCAAAGAAGATCTAGATGAATTCAAAGATAAACGTGTCTTCGAGAATTTAGATGGTATAAGATATTTCTTTAATTTCAATATCGCATTCTTCTTCTATATTGCAGCGCCAAGATCATTCAATACTCCAACATGATTATCAAGTGATAATATTTATGCAGCGTTACGTACTATTGATTTAGCAGGTTTAGAAGAAAATACAAATGAAAATGATATTCGGTTGACGCCGATAAAAGACCAATCGTCTCCATCAGTTCCTTATGCTTCTCCACCAAATCTGCGTGGCTCTCCATCGATTTCTTATGCTTCTCCACAACGCATTGAATTATTACAAACACCAATACATGATCAATCAATATTTAGTATGATTTAATAAATCTTTAATGACACACAAAATCATAATTATCATTTTAGGTATGGATGTTTCGGATATCCAGTCAAGGCTACCTCCAGCATGTTTGCCTACTCCAGATCCATCTTTACCTAACTTTTGGTCACGATTTTGTGCTGATGTGACACAACTTGTTGAATCAGGTAATGTTCACAGACATAGTGATACGTGTTATAAATATTGTAAAGCTATGGCGAAGAAAATTTGTCGATTGATTATGCCACGCAAATTGATATCAGTATCGACAATTGATCCGGAGACTGGTCATATTTCTATGCGACGATCACATCCATGGATTAATAATTTTAATGAATACGTTATATCATCATGTCGTTCCAACATGGATATTAAATTTATTTGGACTGGTAGTGATACTAAGGCTCTTGTGTATTATATCACTGATTATATCACAAAAACGAGTCTATCTTTTCATGATACATTCTCTCTTATTCAAAAAAGTATTACATCATTCAAAAATGTAGCAGATCAAACAGAGGCGGAAAGTGCTATAGAAAAATCACACAAACTGGTTTTGCGTTGTTACAATACACTTGCTTCTCAACAAGAGCTATCTGGAGTTCAAGTTGCCTCTTATCTCATGAATTGGGGCGACCATTACACTACACACAAATTTCAAGGTCTTTATTTAATTCAAACTGAGATATTTTTACAAACAGAATTAAACGAATTACGCATTAAACAAAATTTAGAACATGCCTCGCATGGTAAGATAATAGTTTACCTTTCTACAGTTATTATTTTGCACTAACTTTTATTGAAACAGCAATTGTTTGTCTTCTGCATATGCAAAGCGAAACAGAGAGAAGAGTGAGAACAAGAAAATAAAGAGAAAGAAAAGTCATTTGTGATAGACACAACTTAGACGAAACGAAAAATAATATGTATGATAGGCAGTTAAAACCGTACATTTGTTTTCATAGACCGAGAGAACAGAAAGAGAGAAAAGAATGACATTGACGGATGGAAAATATTATACACTGTTTCTGATTTTCAAACGATCTATACTCGAAGAATGACATGAGTATAATTTAGTTATGATACTACACAAAATAAGTGTTGAGCATCGAACTAATTTAATGAAATTTAAATGTAATTCTTGTTTTACATATCAAGACGGGAAATATAGACATATATATCTAATTGAATAAAGAAAAAAGCATGAATATATATTTTTTCACAGATAGATGTAATTGACGATGACAATGTGTTGGATGATGAAAATACTGTGGATGAAGACAATAATGAAGAAAATTTTCAGATTCAATCTACTGAAAATAAAAACAGTTTTGTACTTGTCAGCACAAGAGTTGATTATCAATATCGATCAGATACTCGAAGCAAAATCTGTTTATGCGCTTTCGTTAGTACATTTTACAAGAGAAAAATGAATGCAACAGATGCAAAATATTTATCCAAATCTTCTCCCAAGTCTTCCACCACAGAAGAGCAACAAGGGATTCGAAAAGACCGACCACCAAATCAACGTTTTCTTTTTCAAGAACAGCATCCGCAAGCAACAACCTATCTGTTGACTGAATACAGTGAGGCTCATACAGCGATTCTCTATGATCCTCAAATTCCTCGACATGATCGTGAAGATACTAAAGAACGATATAGTCGAGCTCTTCTCACACTTTTTGTACCTTGGCGTTCGGTGTCTGACCTTTGTGATGTTAATGAAAATTGGGAAGATGCACTCAAGTCACGCCAATATCAAATATCTGCGGATTCATAGAATATTATAGAAAATATTCAACTCTTACATGAATGTAAGAAAGATCGTGATGAGCATTTACTTCGAATTATAACTGAAGCTCAAACTGAAAATGGTACGATTGATCCTGAATTAGTCATAACAACTCGTAACATGCGTGATGAATATGACGACGCAAGTGACAATGAAGATTTACTTGAATTGCTTGGTAATTTAAACGAATATACTACCAATGCATTAAATAGCAATAAAAAGACAACAGAAAATATATACATTGAAGAAACCATAGAAGCAGTAGAAAAGGTTGGACGATTTACTCACACACATAGTAAGTATTATTATTAATTATAAAGTAGATATAAACGTTACTACTTTTTTGTAGCAAATAGTCAATTGTTAGTAAATGAATCTTCTAGAGATCACTTTCAACAAATTGTGCCGTTCGTCTCAGCAACACCTAATCTCGTTCGACTCAATACAAAATGGCAAGAATAACTAAAGACTGAGAAAGAAAGAGTTAGTCGAAGTTTGATTACGGGCAACGATGACAAAACGGATGATACATTAGACTATGATAATATACAGAATGCACTTGTAACTATGGTCAATTCGAATAATTATAACATAAATACACTTGATAATTACACTCAAATTCTTCCAGTTGCGTCAGTGACTACCACAAGCTATTCTACTCAGCAAAGTATTATTGTTGAATATACATTGAATAGAGAATAACGAGCTGCATTTATGATAATAACCAGTCATCTTGATGGCGACAAGGAACGTCATACAGGTATTTTAATAATCTATATGTCTAATAATAAATCAAAATAATATATATATATATATATATATATAGGTACCAACAATCGTCAGCTGATAATGTGCATACCTAGATGTGGCGACACCGGTAAATCACAATTGATTCGTACTGTCACCAAATACTTTCTTATTACAAAAAGAATACAAATGATGAGAAAACTCGCACCCACCGGAATCGCTGCTGCTGAAATTGGCGGCATGACAATCCACTCATTTTTAGGTGAACAACGTAATTCGGGAAAGCCGCGCACCATCAAACCAGGTGATTCTAAACTTGAAAACCAATGGAGACTGGTTGAATATCTCCTAATTGATGAAATGAGCATGGTTGGATTAACTCTACTTGCAAAACTCAATCGAATTATGTCCGCTGCCAAACATGTCGATCCTCAAATTCCATTTGGTGGCATAAACGTCATATTTTTTGGTGATTATTTACAATATCGACCAGTATATGATGCACCGTTGTACACTGACTTTTCACAGCCCTCTAAAAACAAATCAGGTCAATTACTTAGTGAAAAAGAAATTCAACAACGCGCTGCACGTTCCCTGATACTTCAAATTAACTGTGTGATCAAACTTAATCAACAGATGCGAACAGAAGATGAACGATACCGTGAATTACTCGAACGCCTTCGTCAAGGTGACTGTACTTTGGGGGATTATGAATTACTGTTAACACGCGTCGTTGGCCAGCCATCGGTCAGTTCTCTTCGCGAATCACCATGGAACGAAGTAAATTCTTTTTTGTTTTTAAAATAATTTTTCATCGTTTTGATGTTTAGGCTCCCATTTTAGCATACCGAAATGAAGTACGAACACAACTAAACAACAAAGCAGCAGTTCACAATGCAGCACAACTAGGTCTTCAGCCAATGGTATGTGTCGCTCAAGATACCTGCAAAGGAAAACCAATTGAAGATTCTATACTGATGAAAAAATTATTGGAATTATCTGACAGTAAGACCGAGCACTTACCTGGTTTGTTGCCATTTGTTCCTGGGATGCCAGTTATTTTAACACAAAATCTTGCTATTGAACTGGGTCTTATTAACGGCATAAATGGAATATTTCGACAATTAGTCTACGAGGCTGATTCTGTGTCAACAGATGCTCTATCAAACACGTTTCCGAATAATACACAGTACGTGCATCGACCTTTATATGCACTAATTGAAATTGCTAGATCGAAAATTGAATGTAATCTTGAAACACTTCAACCAAAAATCGTCCCAGTACCGGTAATGGAACAAACGTTTCGTTTTGACGTTACTGACATTCTTCCAAAAAATAAAAAAACAAAATCGAACCGGAAAGCAATGTTGTCAATTAAACGACGTGCACTACCACTTGTATCTGCTTATTGTATTACAACACATAAGAGTCAAGGTCAAACTTTGAGTAAACCCGTGATTGACCTTAAACTGCCGAATGAAACTGAAGATATTGCCGCTGTTTATGTACCGCTATCACGTTTCCAACGTTTCATTGATGTAGCTATTTTACGGCCTTTCGATTACGAAGTTCTACGAATCAAACCAAGTAAATCGCACGTTGCTGAAATTGAAAGACTTGATAAATTGTATATTGATACTCAACTTCGATTTTCTGAGTATTTTCAATAATTTTTCTTTACTTTATAAAAATGCATGTTAGTCGCTATGAATTGTTTTGCATATTATGTTTTTTTTAATGAAATCATCAATCTATGTTCGTTATTATAACTGTGTTTTTTTGTATTAGTGTCGCTTTTATAGTAGCTTTGTAATCCTTTTCTAGTTCATATTGTGAAAAGTTATTTGCTGGTTATAGATGCATCTTCCTTTTCGCATCTATTTCTTTTGTTTGTTTTAATCACATATTCCATATATTTGTATTATCTTATTATGCATGAATTTTTTTGTAAATAAAATAAAATAAAATATTATTAGTCATATCATAGAATCATAGCATTTGTCAAATAATTCGATACCATAATACAAACTGCGACATGTTATAGATCTATTTACAATGATATTCAGTAAAAGTGCGATCGTAATTGGTAACAGTGAACATTTTTTCCATAACACATCATGGTATAGAATTTTTCTGTTTAAGCTACATTCCATTTAGTCAAGCATAAATATCAATATGCTATAGTATAAAACGCAGTTTTCTCTATGGTTGTCTCGACATTATACTAATTTCCGTGCTACTGTACGCATTTGTAAGGTGATACACTTCTTATCATCCACGCTTAGTTTTCAGTTTAACATTATCTATTAAAATTGGTCAAAAAAAGTGAGCTCGACGCGTAAACTTGAAATTTCGAGCTCACTTACGGATCCATATTATACCAATGGAAAGCAGTCCATTATAGTCTTATATCATGTTTTATCATATAATTACTTACCATTTCTATAAAAACTGGTAATTAGTCTCATTAATTAAAAATACCATACTAATTACTTCCGGTAACTAATAAGATGCCACTAATTAAACCCGGAAGTAACTGAAATACCTCTAATTAACCCATATAATTAATGAAATATCCCTGATTACACCCGGAAGTGAGTGAAACAC